CTTTGAACTTGAAAACGAAGTCCCCAACTGTGGTCATTTTGATTCCCATCCTACAACAGTTACGCATCTAAACAGTTATTGATTCTCAGTTAAGTATTGAATGAGATGTGATTGCACTCACGTTTTCTTCATGTGACGTTTCCAGTTCATAAACATTTCCCCCTTCAGCTGTTTTAAGAAATAACTTTGAGGGAGGTGGTTTTGATTTGTGAGAACAGCATGGAAATAAGCAAATACTTACCAACAATGTAGAGATGGTCACTGAATGCCAACATTGAACTTAAATAACGACGTGTGGAAAGTGATTTCGAAATCAGCGTCCACTGACCTTGTCGACCATTAGTTATGGAAAGAAATTCTGCTGTTTGTGGGTGACTAAACTGAGAACCGACAACGTAAACACATCCTTGAAAGAAGTCTACAACAGGGCGGTATATTGTCTTTAACATTGGAGTAAATGAGCACCAAACTGAATTTTCTGCAGAAATTTGAAACAATTCGACAGTATTCAGTTCTTCTGCATCTACGCCTTGACCACCAAGAACTAAAACTCCAAGTTCCGGAATGTTTATTGCTGCGCTTCCAAATCTGCCTGTTGACATATCGGGAAGTCCTTCCCACCTACAATACACAAATTTGCCTCAATGACTTTGAAACTCACAAACCACATGTGACAATAAATATCGGCGAGCCGTAATAACAGTGATATTACAACACTAATATCACAATGGAATTAGTATTATGTTGGTGAGGAATTTGGGTGATCCGTTACTCTCCACTCCAACACAACATTCTGCTTTCTCAAATAACAACGATGATGGTCTCTATTCAACTTCAACTACGTGTGGTCACTTAGTCAAATCATAGAGCTCTGCAATTTTTCTTTCATTCTCACGCATTTCTGGAGCAAATACTCTGTTGAAATCACAGAAGAACTGTGGGACTGGAAAGCGAAAAATGAGCACATCCACTTAACAACGACAAGTTCACAAACACATGGCCATTCACATTTCAAGAAATCTGAAATTAGTGCATGGGGGCTGGAAGCAGAAGCTGTAATCCCAAATGCCTAATGTATATCAATCAATTCATCGATGATATTTAGATAAGCATATTATGGCGGAAAAATCCTAAACTCACTTGTCATCCAATGGAGAATATTTCTCACAGGAGGTTAAAGTTTCACTATTGGCACCTTCTCCAAAAACAAGAATTTCATGTTCGACAGCAACTGCAGAAGCATAAGCTCTGCACTAAGCCATTGACTTTGTCTCCTTTACCTCGCTATTGAAGGGATTTACCTTAAAAACACGGGAACAAGTGGCGCATTCCTTTGGGTTACCTCCAATCACATAAATATATTCTGAAATGAACGAGAGATCAAAGTAGGACTTGTGCGGTGTTGGCACACAAGACGGTGATGAACTTGCCACTTACCATCACAAGCAACTACGCAGCCGCCATATCTGATAGGGATTTTCAACTCTGGTTCAGCTTCCTCCACTTTTGGAACAGCTGGAAAAGAAGATATGAAGGTTTGCTCGGTTTCATTGTATATTCCCTCTTCCTATTAAATAGTAAAGTTATAATGTACATTTTCAGTGAATCGTTTGACAAACTTTACTCACTTATTTTCCTCAGATTGATCACGCATTTTCAAGTAATCCAGAAGTGTGTGTCTTAAGAAAATAAACTCATTTAATTACATCATTTACCTTGACTTGTCAGAAAGAATAATGCCTGACTTCCCCAAGGCCACATCGATGAGAAAGGAAGGAGGAAGTTTGTTAACGTTTAGTATTGAGGGAAAATTTTTGAAAAATGCATCATGGATGTCTCTTTCAAACGATGAAGAAGCCGCGTTTATCCATGACACCATTGCTATCAGCTTCAATTCCTCACTTGGGGCCTACAACCATGGGCTATTTAGCAGAGCCTCCATGTCCTTCGGGGTTGTCCATCGCAGACAATTCTGATCCTTGGCGAAAGAATCAGAGTCACTTGCAATCCTGCGAATGCACTGGTCTCTCAAGTCATGTTTGCAGAGAAGAGAGCCAATAATTCAAATCTCATTGGCATTGATTTGATCGAATCTAAAGAAGAGAAGATGAGTTGATGAATTTAAGTATGCACACTATAACCCATAGTTGAACTAATCGACTCCACGTTAGTGGGCTTACATTCACATTTATATCGTTTGCTTATCATTGACTAATGCGACAATATCTGTCAACCGTTTCAAATCTCATTTCTGTCACTAATCCCTCTCTTCTAATTCCTTCATCTCATTGTACACTTTCTCTCCCCCTATCTCCACCACTTTGGTTCTAGCCAACTTTTCCAATTCAACTCATTATCTTCCGATTTGCGGTGGGGAATGATTTATCCTTTCGAACACTGTAATGACAATACTTTCATAAGATGACTCCAACTTTCTCTAAATTCATGGTTCCGACGTGCTTCGGTAAAAATTTTAACTGCCAATGAAGTCGCTATTAGGTAAGTGATTTTCGGTTCTTTTTAGTATAAAGAGCGTGTTTAAAATATATGCCTCTGAGTGCTTAACACGAAGTCCATTGAAATTGCATATATGAATAACATTGGACAATCGCTCACCTCACTTCAATAAAGTTCCGACAAACATCAATAAGAGATTGAGATCCAAGTTGATGTGCCAATAAATAGATCTCACCCACCGTGCGCAAACTAATACCAATTTTACCTGTGTAGATGAAGTCTATCACAGATACGACAAGTCTGAAATGAAGCAACAGTAAATGAAAGAATGAATCTGGATGTACTCGGTAGTGTAACGGTGCCATTTCATAGTCGGACCTTGATTCTGCAATAATTGATTCATAGTTCTAGGAAACTGGGCACAAAGAAATGATCGATGAACTGGAATCTTGTGATTCTCCCTTGTCTAGAGATTAATAAATTATTGTAAAATATGGGATTCATCATGCCACCTACGATAATGTGTAAATCAATGAGATGTCCATTTTGTCGAAGTTGGTTGAAGAACTTTGGTGGAATTGAAAGTGTCGTTTCATCAGAGGGAGTACAATAAATGATTTCATCTTCCATCTTTACGCAGTGAGTTGAGTGCTAATAATGAGTGCTCAAGATAAGCCATATTTCGTGTGCATTGTGAGTGCGTCAATGTTACCTCTCTCTATCCGATTTGATAGGCCGCTTTCATTTTTCACACCCCAGGTAAGATTTGGATTGGCTACTTGCATGTTAGAATTCGATCGAGAACCGCCAAATGCAAAGTGACTGCAGAAATGAATCTTGGCAAGCTTGACAGTTGGCAATCCTTAATTGAGTTATACTTAATAAAACGTTCTACATAATTTCTCATTCAGTTCATAGTTTGATTGCAAAAATTTGATTGAAGTTGCCAATGTAAGAGTAATACAAAAATAGACATTAATTTTAATTTGCTAAACGTCATGATGCTAAGTCCAAGAGTTGCTAATTTTTCCCCACTAAAATCCCCCCCTACATTTGCCTAATTCAACCAGGAAGAATAAAGAAGTCTTACTTACCTTGAATTTCAAGCAATAAAGAATTCGCTTTATTAAAGGAAAGCTTCTATTGCACCATGTGAACAAGTAAGTCAACTGTATTGACTCCAGACAAATCCACTTTGTTCCAATTACTTTCGGATATAAAAATGCATGTGAATGAATGGATTTGAAGTAGATTTACTAACATCAACTTACTCTTTTATATGCGTCATATGAATAAATTTCATTCTCCAAAGTTGACAATTGCGTTCTAACCCCTCCCCCCCCAACACCCCCTCCCACCATCCCACCTTTCCTAAACTGTTTTATTCTAAATACTACCAAATTAATAACCGAACTGGTTTAAAGAACCACCATAATTCGAGTATTACATTAGTAGTTGAATGCATGAAATTTACTATTGACCCTAACTGCAACAGTATCAGGTAAAAAGAGTATTTGAAAATGAGCCTGAAGTTTCGATTCTCTCCTGGAAATGGTCTTTTATTTCTAGAATTCAATACTTAGAGTGGGAAGGTGACTAACCTTCAAAATTGAGTAACTTTCACCACTTTTCGTGAGTAGATCGGTGAATTAGTTCTATACCTTTCCATTTCTGGATTGAAGGAAACTTGCAATTTCGTGTCAATTGAGCACATTGGAGAAAATATCAAAGTGCTGTTGACTAGTGAAATGAGAACTTGTTGCTTTGGTGATTCCATCCTCAGGTTCCAAATATGAACTTGACTCTCACACTGTTAAGACGTCAATCAGAAGTTCTTTTGGTGAAGACGAGAGGATTGAATATGTTTATCGACAGGATACAGTCTTGGTCTGGTGTTAATCAATTTGACTTTGATTTGTAGATGCTGAGGTCGAATGACGTCATAGTAGCCGAACAAGAGTCAAGTTGAAGTGTTCTAGTGGGCAAACAGACTTGATAAAAATGAAGTACGAATAGAAGCTGAATGGTTGATAAGTCTTCTGACAGACTGAAATGGTTCACTTCAAATTCTCCTCTTTCAGTCTTATAACCTTCAGTTGACTTTGACAGATGATATCACCACAGTGGGGGTGTTGGGACATGCTTCGAGAAACCCATGTAGATGGCAGTTTTAGAATGCGGGTAAGATTTAAAATTGATATAGAAGATGTGATTGAGGATGATTAATGAGACCAAAGAGGTTGAAATAATCCTCAAGGTGACACATATGGTGGATATGTGACTAGGCTGATACCAATGAGCAGTGATGATTGTTGACAGGGACAAGCACTTTCGTAGTACTTTAAATGAGTTCAAAGTCGTTTCTTCCCAATGAATTAGTCTTAATAGGACAAGATGTATGCCGCGAAATATTGAGGTGGTAGAGAAGAGGTGGTGAGCCCATGCAGTCAGTGTAGTGTGGCGAAGTCGACTTACTGGTGCCGTTTACTATCTTGCTCAAGACTTACTTGTTTTCTAGTGAAAGAAAAGTGTAGGCGAATTTGACTGTGGAAAGGTGTTCAGCCAACTTTGGATTGGGTTTGCCAAAACGCAGGGAAAAAGACAGTTTGCAATGGAATGTGAGTAATGGAATGAGTGGCAATGAATAATAAGAAACACAGGTATTGATTGTCATCACGATACTGTCAATGAAATGGGCGAGGTTGGTGTAGAGATTATTGTTATTAAGTGTGGTCTACACTTGTCATGCTCTCATCAATCTCAGAGAACATCACATCAGTAGATGTAGCTGGACGATTCAGGGTTATATCTAGCCCCATCACTAACACAGCTGTGCTATCCACGAATGTGATTGTTCTACTACCTTGACATGTCATTCTCAAGAAGTAATCAGGCATTGAAATTCTCAATCCAACCTCCTGATTTAGAAAATGCGATTTGACTTTCGAGTTGATCGCTTGGATTGTTGCATTCCATAACCTCTGAAACAGAAACAGGAGATACTTGATGGAAGAATGACGAATGGTGAAATAGGTAATCAATAAGTATTTACTAATTCAGTGTCAGTATTGGCCGAACAAATTTTATTTTGTTAGGTCAATCATTGTGAAATTAGTGGATGCACTTTCTAATTCTAATTGGAGAAAGTCAAAGTTTCGCAGTGAAGTATCATAAGTGGGCAATTTGAAGTGTATTGGTTGTTTGAGAAGTGAT